TTTCTTCTTCACCTTCTTTTTCTTTTCCACCTTCTTGTTCTTTTCTTCTTCACCTTCTTGTTCTTTTCTTCTTCACCTTCTTGTTCTTTGCTTATCCTTATTGTTTTCTTCTTTTCTTGTTTTTTTTCTTCTCGTTCTTTTCTTCCTCTCCTTGTTTTTTCTTCTTGTTGTGCTTTTCTTCTTCTCGTTCTTGTTCTTTTCTTCTTCTTGTCCTTTTTATTATATGATTCTCCTTCCTCTCCTCCTCCTCTTCCTTCTTCTGCTCCTTCTCCTCCTTCTTCTTCTGGACAGAACTGGTAGAGTTCAGTCACCTGGTTGGTTTCCTGGAAATGGACCCGGTCTTTTATCAGATTCCACAGATTTTTAATCCAGTTAAGATCTTTCTTTGGAAAGACCATTCCAGAAGTTTCCCGTTCAGCTGACTGGTCCAGTCTAAAACTATAACGAGTGTTTGGGTAGTCCTTCACTAGTCCGTCCACTGTGTACCACAGCATCATGTTCCCACCATCGTGCCCGACAGTCTGAAAACCTCTTTTTGTCTCCTCTAAATGACCTTCATGTCTGAGTCCAAACAGTTCAGTCTTCGTCTCATCTGTCTGTCAAACCTTTCTCCAGGAGACGTTCATCAGACGTTTGGCAGCACGATGGCTCAGTGGTCAACACTGTTGCCTCACACAAAGAAGGTCTTGGGTTCAATCCCCGGTTGCATCTGGGGTCGTTCTGGGTGGAGTTTGCATGTTCTTCTCGTGCATGTGTGGGTTTTCTCCAGGTACTCCGGTTTCCTCCTACAGACCAACAACATGCATGTTAGTCCGCCTTCAGGCCCAGGCCTCCCTTGAATCTGATCTCAATGGGATTTGCCTGATTAAATAAAGGTCATGAAGGTCAATAATAATAATCTAGTCCTTGTGGACAGCTGCAGGTTTCAGCCCAACTTGAAGATTTGGAGGTGATGTGAAATGGTCTTCACGGACACAGGTGGACAGGGACTCTCGTGCTCCAGCTGGTTCCAGTTCATGGCAGACTTAAGTCTCGGTGGTCTTCTTCCATCAGAGGGGTGCAGGTGAGTGTTAGTCAACCCAATGAGTGCTGTCCATCAAATCCTTTTTGTGCTGGCCAGGAGAAACTCCCAGCTGCAGTCCATAATGATCACTATAAGACAGACCCTTCTATGCCCTTCAGACGGTGCTGACTTATCGAATTCTTTGTGTTTAATTCTGACACTGTGGATTAAAGAATTTCCACAATAGGTTCAAACTTTTGCACCAGTTCTTATTTTTAAAAATTAATAGAGATGCGTGTTGTGAAACAATCTGACCCTGGATTATGAAAGGCTCAGAGTCATTAGAAAATAAAGATATGACATTCATGCCCTGGAGGAATTGATTATTAGCATCATCAATTTGTTAAAGATCTCTCCATCTTTTATTTTTATAGGTATGCATTTTCTTATTTTATTAGTCTGAGCTGAGACCGGACCAGCTGTCACATTACCCATCAGCCTTTATGCCTCCGTTTGTTGGAGTGTGTGATGCGTTCAGGTACCATCCGAACGACAAGCCTGTAACACCTGGAAGCTCTGGCATCACTTTTTACAGATCGTCAGGTCGTCATTAATGATAATGTTCCTTGTTCAGAGTTTTGTTAGAGAAACATGTTACAGTCATCTGTGGAAAACCTTTAACCGATTAGTGATGAAAGCATTAAGCTGTTGTGGTTGATCGCATCTGGACCAGGTCAACATAACCTTTAAGAGCTGGTGTGGGACTTTTATAGGGACTGGGCCGGTTTCATTAGGCGTCTGAGCTAAAAGCATGAAAAAACGTTTTGTTCACTTTCAACAACAGAGACAAACAAACACCTCAAAAAGAGCAGCGCGACCAAGAGCGGTGTGCTTTGACATTTGGTGGCGGGGTGTCGTGCGATGACGACAAAACTGACTCAGACAATTGAGAAATTCACCCACGGACTGTAAGGTTGAGTCAAAACGAGTGGAAAACCCCGACCCACTTCGGATCAGAAACAACATTCAGTTTAAACTGGAAGTCGGACTTTTCATGACTGAACTGACATTTTATCTTTGGCCAGGGGCGGTCCTAGCCTGTTTGGTGCCCTGGGGCCGGGGGCACCTGCCTACATCGTCCATATCACAAATCGCCTCTGTCTTTAGCTGTTTTTACACAAAACAGCTTGATCCATCTAAAGTTTTCAACAAACAAATTAGGTCTGCGAGATTTAAAAAATGTATGTGGAATATTATTGTTATTATTATCAGGATGACATCAGCAGCATTAAACCTCCATTTTTCCTGACGTTCTCGGATCATCTACACCAGCTGTGGGCATCGAGGCCAGCGGCAGACTGTCCATCCACTAAATTAATTAACGTGCACAACTTCATATATTTCTCTTCAGAGCAGCCAGACTTTCCTGTAATCTTTCAAACTGGTTTTCTTCCCCAGTTCTTCAGGGTTTTAGAAGGTCTATCGGTTTGTTTGTTTGTTTTTTTGGGGGGTGGGGTCTGTTTTGGACTTTTATTGTAGTGGGTTAATTTCATGTATGTTTGTTTGTTTGTATGTTTGTTTGTCCATTAGTCCTGATCTAGGAATCATTCAGGCATCAAATGTACAAGACACCTTCGAAGGCTTTTTGTTGCAGCAGCTTTTTCCCACGGACACAGTTTTGTTAGTTACAGCTCAGCCCCCAGTGCTGACAATGGCTCATCGTTTCAATAACAGTGTCCATTGACATCAGAAGCATTTGTCATGTGGGGGGGGGACATGGGGGGAGGGGGTCTGGGGGTCCTCCCCCAGAAAATGTTGTATAAAGTAGATGTCGTCTCCTGCATTCTGCTGTATTTTAACATGTTTTTAAACATCTAAGTTTTCCTACATACGTAAACACTTGAGTCAATAATTATTTTAGAGAGCCTGCTACAACAAGAAGCTAATATTAAGCTAACATATGAAATACTTATTTATACCAATTCATCCTACCGTTATATTCTGCCATGCTGTTGTTTACTATCCAACAATGTTCAGTCAGGTCATCTGGACAGTTTCTTTTTTTGTTGAGAGGCGTTTCGCCCTTCATCAGTCTGAGGAGACACAAACAAACTGTTTTCCTCACTAAGCAGCGCACTCCTTTAGTGGACCAACCAGACCAACAACAACAAAAAGAAACTGTCCAGATGACCTGACTGACAATGAGACGTAGTATAAATAAAGGTTGAATGAATTCTGAGTGCTGTGGTTCTAAACATCATGTTCCTCATAAAAAAATGTAATTTTTGATTTTTATTTTAAGATGGAACGAAGCTGGTTTCTGCAGTAAAAACCAGTCTAATTATTTACCTGTAACTGGCCTAAAGGGGAAGTTTGTGACCAGAGGAGGCTCTACTTCCTATTTTTAACATGGACCCGACTCTTCAGCCAGATAAACGTAACAAATGTGTTGGAGAAACACGGCAGGCTTTCATTAAACGTTAGCTTCTCTCCAGCTGCGTTTCTTTCCGGGTGGTCAAATTAACTTTACTGTCTGCTCACATTTAACGGGACCACAGAAAACAAAGCAGGAGAAACAAACGATAGAAATAATAAGACCAAAACCAAAAGGTAGAGCCAGGAGGCTGAGCGGGGGGTGGGGGGTGGGGGCAGGAATATGGAAGCACTTAAGGCCCCGGGCGCTCACCCTGGAAAGGGTTAAAGATGGCGATGGGATAAGTGGCGCTCGTTTATCGCAATTTTGACAGCAGCAGTTAAATGTTGAGCTTTGCCTCCAAGCTGCCAGTCTCAGGAAGCAGACGGAGCTCTCTGCTCTCCTCCAGCCTCCCGCCCGTCTCCTCACATCAGAACCAAACCATCCCTGGAACGGGTCAAGCTCGCCTCCATCCCCGTCCCGCAGCTTCTAAAGCCCCCCCGCTCGCCTTCATTCTCCTGGTCTCGCCGTGCTTTTTACCGTGGAGCTACATTTCCAAGGGCCCCCGCCACTCCCTCCGCCCCGCTGGAGACCCTGCAGATGTCTGGAGCCCGGCGCTGAAGCGGGCGCCCGCCAGCAGCCCAGATGCATTTGCCACTCTTTGCTTTTGTGATGTCCTTTGTATGCGAGGTGGTCCGGATGGGGTCCGGTGCCAACCAGAGGCAGAGCGGTGAGTAAAAATCAGAGAAACCTCTTCAGCAACAACAAAGCTAATAAACAACAATAATTTACTGAAACAACAACAAGCATTTGTTGACTTTACAGTAATTTAGCACATTGATGCAGCAGAAGGCAGGAGCTCAAGGTTCTTATCCAGTTTTATAACTAATGTGATGAAACGAAGCCTGACAGCGCTTAATGCTGAAGCATTTGTCAGTAAGCTGCTAAAGAAGCTGAAGTTGGGCCGAAAAGGTTTCATCGCTAAACTGTTGAGTTGAATTCAAACAGCTGACGTTTGCTGAAACAGCTAAATAAAAGCATAAAGCAGCAGAAAAACAGCTGAAATGTGTAGAAAGAAGCTGGAAGGAGCAGAATAACAGCTGAAACAAGCTGAAGGAAGTTGAAATTAACATAAAAAAGCTGAAGCCGAAGAAAAGCTGAAACGAGCAGTAAAGACTGAAGGACATAGAAAGCTTCATTCATTTTCAATGAGAAAAACATGGCCGACAATGCTAAACATTTCAAAAAGTAAAAACTGCACAAACACTAAAAGTGGCAGCAGGAACGTCGTGAACGAGCCGAACGCTTTGAGACATGAATTGCTGAAATAGGACTAAAGCTGTGGAACGAGGAACGAGCTGAAACACGAGAATGATTCCGAAACATTCGCACAATAAACGGCGATTAACGAGTTAAAGCTTCGGTGTTTTGAAGATCAGCACGATCCGGTGTGGGTTAAACAAGCTCCAAACCCAGATGAAGTCTGGTCGGATCACTCTGCAGGAGACTTGGATGAATCCAAACCATGTAATTACTCGGCTAATTGTTTTGTTCTCGCAGCGTTCAGGGGTTCAGGTGTCGCTTCTCGTTAAGCAGACTGTCCTTGTTGTTCGGCTGTTCTGCTCAGATCGGGCTGTAACGGGTCCGTCTGACAGGAACCCTGTAAAACCAGACCCAGACAGGTATGTGGCGACCCTCGCCAGCGTCTGGCATTTCCTCAAGAATTCGCTCATAACGGAGGGGAATCCAGACCCATTACGCAACGCTCGGCCTCCGGAAGGATCGTTTGAGGAGCAGCGTGGAGCCGTGAGACGCTGCTGAAGAAACTTTACGTAAAACGGACGCTGGACGACAAAACTCTGGAGAGATCAAGACGTGGAGCTGGTTCTTCTGGGTCTTGATGGTCAAACGTGACCTTCAGGAACTCGTCCGCCTCCTGTCAGGACCCGTTTGTCCACCCAGCGCAGATCCGTTTCATGTTTCACCTTTTTTTAACCTGCGTCTGAAATCCTGCACCCTCTCACCCTCCTGTGCACGTGGACCTGCTTCCTGCAGCCTCATGATTATGCCTGTGCTGGTACCGGGTCCGTTTGGTTACTGTAGTAACCAGGAGCATGTGTGAAGTTTTACAGAATGATGGACGGCGGAGATAAAATCCTGCTCGTTTTCCACAGATCCACAGCAAAACAGAGAAAAGTTCACAGCTGATCTTAATGATAATTACTGAGGTTAATAATTAATATTCAGGCGTTTCATCTTGTTCTGTTTAAAGTCACGAATCTGTGCTTTGTTTTTGTATTTGTGCAGTAAATGTTGATATTTGTACCCTGGAATGTGTAAAGTTATTAAAAATAAATTGAAGGAACATTTTGGTCAGTTAAAGGAGATTAATTTAGACTTTGTTGCTAATTAATATTAATTAATATCTGTGAAAATGTCAGGCTGTTTATCCTTCTGTCTGTTGCTGAACACTTTTTAAAATAAACGGGTCTGAGTTTGAACCCATTAAGTTCCACCAGAACCAGACGGGCCCGTTTAACCGTTTGTGTTCTGACTGTTGCCGAGAGACTCTGACGTCCAAAAATCATCTTTAAAAATGTAAATCAGAGCTTCGGGCCTGACGGAGACGTTCGGTTCTGGTTCTGAACGTCCACGTCCCCGTCGCTGGAAACTCGGCTTCAACGCCTAAAACAAACGAGCAGCGTCGAGTCGAGGAGCCAACACGAGACGTTGGCACCAAACTTACCAATAAATGGATTCAAAATGTGTATTTGGGTCAAAAGTAAACACGTTCGGGTCAAGCTCAACACTTTTTACTTGTTCCTATAAAAGTGACTTTGTTCATTTAAATATTTTCTCTAGTTTATCACTCGACTTGTTTTAACTCCTGACAAATATTAAATATTTAAATCTAATAAACGCTCCTGAAGAGTTGGCCTAAACGTCAGCGCGGTGAAATTAAATTAACGTTTCATCAAAGAGAAGTTTAATCCTAAAGAGTTGAGAGAAAATAGAAAATAAGAAGTTTTCTTTAATTAAATCAGTGAAAACTACAATTTAATACATTTGTATTAAAAAGATTATTATTATATTTTATACCCGTTTTAAAAGTTCATTAAAAGGAAGAGTAATCTTTTTATATTAAGTTTAGATTTTTATAATCTTTTATAAAATGTCTCCACAAATTAATCTAATTTAAATAAAAACAATAATAATATGTGGGTGTGGTAAACAGAGCAGCATATTCTGTTAAATATTAATTTAATTAAAAGATAAAATAAAGATAAGTCTTTGGACACCAAGATGTTTGGTTCTGCTCAACGTGAACTAGGAGCTAAATATCCGGACCGGACCAGAACCTGGACTTCTATTAACCCTGAACTTAACAATTACATGAAAGTTATTATAAATTATAGTAAATGTGTCTAAGATGGAAAAAGAAACTAATAAAGTCTGGAAATATAATAAAAATACAAGAATAAAACCATTTCCAGGCTTTAATTTTTAAACTCTGTCATCCAGCATCAACAAAAATAAAAAAAACATTTAATAATCCTGATGAAATTAAGATTTAAGACTAAAGAACGTTAAACTATAAAAACATGTTAAAGTTTTAATTTGAAAAGCCTCGTGGTCTGGAGGGAATCAGCGGGTCGTCTGGTCGAAAAGATCTGAAGACGTTAAAATAAAAGTCAGTCTCTTTGGATCTAAACAGATTAAATATAAAGTCTGATTTTTATAGAAGGGTTAAAAAAAGACCACCGCTGGTTTTAAGAATATCATGTGAGGAGATCCAACGTTGTTCACGTCAGAGGTTTCTGGACTCTTCTTCTGCTCGGCGCTGAAGTTTGAAAACTCAGAAACGTGTCCCGGGTGTGATTTTAACAAAAGCAGGAATTATTTATTTATTTATTTAAACTCGCATCAAGTTTAAACTTGAAGAAAATGTTTATTTAACGCCGTCCATAAAAACAGGTTGATAAAATATTCCTGTTAGATCAAACGTATTTAGGTTTTAGCCAACAAGGCTCGTAACTTTTTCTTTCTACCCGTTTTATTTGTCGCCCTCAGAGTTTGTTTGTTTGTTTGTTTGGATCATAAACGGGTTTCTGACGTGGAGACGGGTCTACGGACACGGCAGTCCAGGAACCTCGGGACTTTGTGACGTTTCAGAACGTCCGAATCGAATGAAAGTTTAAAAGGAAAGAAGTTCTGCGTGAACTGGGCTCAAAGCGCTCCGGGTTTGGTGTTTGTTTGTGTTTATTTTCAGCGTCCGATGTAAACAAACCCGTTTGTTGGTAATCAGATCCTGTTGGTGCTCGTGAGCTGAAAAACAAAAAGCAACGTTTCAACAGGGAGTGAGTACGATTCACTCGTGCTTCCTGTTTGGTTTGTTAAAATGAATCATGAGGGGGGGGGCATCATTTTTATTTATTTTATTTGCCTCAATTAAAGCAGGAAAGTATTTTTTTTTTATTAGTTTCCTTAAAAAGGCGACCCACCTGAAACATTCTCCACTTGAGCTCTGACCTCCGACAGCCGGCTCGTCAGCCTGATCAGACTGGGGGGGTCGTTACGTGACTGATATGATTGTTGGCCGG